ACAGTGCGATTGGCACAGGACAGAGCGGAGTTTAGGGCTGTTGTACATAGGGTCGCTATGAGTTGCAAGCGACTTGACAGCACATAACAACAACACCACCACCATCAAATCCGATCTGACTGGTACAGGAGGAGATTATCCCTCCTTCTCCAGCAGAGCATCTGGTGGATTCGAACTGACACCTTAGTTTTTAAATTGACATCATTGTTCTTTAGTGCCTTGGAGATGTCCTTGATAGACTTTTCCAATGCAACATGTCTTTTGACTTCTTGACTGCTATAACCATGCATGTTGACTGTCATATGCTATTGTTAGGTGCTGTCAAATTAATTATAATCCACAGTGATCCTATGAAGAACAGATCTCAGTTTTGGCCTATCATGTGCATCCTCATCATCTCTGATATACTTGAGCCTATTGTTGCAGTCATGGTATCAATCCAGCTCATTGAGGGTCTGTCTTGCCTTTGCTGACCCTCCACCTTTCCAACCATGATGTCCTTTTCCAAAGACTGGTCCCTCTTGACAACATGCCCAGAAGATGTGTGATGAGGTTGCATTATCCTTGCCACTGTGGAACATCCTGGCCACACTTTCTCCAGGACATACTTGTTTGTTCTTTTGGCAGTCTGTGAGAAATTCCATACTGTTTTCCAACATCACACTCAAAGGCATTGATTCTTCTGTCATCATTACTCATTATCCAACTTTTTTTGGATGTGGTGTGAGGATAAGCAAAATCCTCATTTAGCCACTGAATAATACTAGGCACAGAGTTGCCCATCAATTATCAGCCCCACTGCAAAACTTTCTGAAACAGAAAGAGCACAATCAAGTACAATTTGGCATTTGGCTACTAAAAACTATTATTTCAAAGCAGTGAAAAATGACAGGTTTTCCCTTTATCAATGATGGATTTCATTAATGGTGGGTAATGGTGGACAATTTTTTTTTTTTAAAAATATGGAACGCTTCACGAATTTGCGTATCAGCCTTGCGCAGGGGCCATGCTAATCTTCTCTGTATCGTTCCAATTTTAGTATATGTGCTGCCGAAGCGAGCACAATGGTGGACAATTTATCAACAATCTGCGTTATGCGGATGACACAACCCTGCTTGCTGAAACTGAGGAGGACCTGAAGCGCTTGCTGCAGAGTGTCAAGGACTGC